TTGAGCATCGACCTATGAATCAGGAGGTCACGGTTTGATTCCCAATCAGGGCACATTCCTGGGTTGTGGGCTCGATCCCCAGTGTGGGGCATGCAGGAGGCAGCCGATCGATGATTCTCTCTCATCACTGATGTTTCTATCTCTCTCCCTCTCCCTTCCTCTCTGAAATCAATTAAAAAAAATAAAAGTATGAGAGACCTCTTTGGTTACTGATACCTAATGATCTTCAGAAAAAGTATGTAAAATGCTACCTCGTGTATATTAAAGGGAAGGTGGGTAAGAATGTGTATTAGTAATTGCTTGTGTTGAATTTATATTGCTTGTTTCTTACTTCCAGTAAGAAATTATAAAAGTGGCCCCTAGGGTGGGACCAAGATTTTTCACTTAAGCCTTTTGAACCACGTGTAACATTTTTTCCTAAGAAGTGGTCAGTTGTGGCACATGCCGCAGAGCTCAGTGAGCCAACGACAGAAGAGTGTCCCCTGGATTTGAATATAGTCAAGTAACTGACGACTTTTCCAGGAGTCGGGCCTAGTGGGGGTGGAGCAGAGCAGCTCATGATGGGTTGGAAAGTAAATGAGAATCAGCAAGTTTTGCCAGAAGCATGCTGAAGTCTGTAACTTGTATAAATAGCCTAGCTGACATACTTATAGAGAAGAATTTAAAGCATACAGTTTTTGAGTTTCTTCTGATATTTTATGTTTTATTCCTGGATCAGACAGAACCATCACATAGCTGTCCACTTTGTTTCCTGAAAGATGTGCTTATGTGTCCTCCTTTGTACACCTCTCCTTACACTGGAGGGCACCGCAGGGCGTGTTGCACACATTTCACAGTTAGGGAAGATCATCTGTATCACCTATGGAAAAGCCATCAAACGTTCTTTTCAGGCCTCAGTGATACAAAACGTTCACTTCCCACTGATAGATCCTCCCTTCCCCCCAACTGGTGGGCGGAGTATGACGTAACCTGCAGCCCGGAAATACCTGAGTGACTAACCATGTACCTTATATGGACTATACATTGGACCACCAATCCACACCTGCCAAATACCCTAAGCCAGCCGTGGGCAAACTACGGCCCGCAGGCCGGATCCGGCCCGTTTGAAATGAATAAAACTAAAAAAAAAAAAAAAGACCGGACCCTTTGATGTAATGATGTTTACTTTGAATTTATATTAGTTCACACAAACACGCCATCCATGCTTTTGTTCCGGCCCTCCGGTCCAGTTTAAGAACCCATTGTGGCCCTTGAGTCAAAAAGTTTGCCCACCCCTGCCCTAAGCCCTTGTTCCTGTATGGACCATACATTAAGCCACCAATCAGCACACACTGAGTACACTAAGCCCCCATTTCTTCCCATTCCTTCCCATTCCGCCCCTCAAAAGGCGTGCTCACCTCTGCACGGGTTGTGCTCTCCCATTGCGAGACGGCCCGGCGGGTCTCTTTCCCCTAATAAAGCCTGTAATCCTGGTTTTTGGCTCCTGACTGTTCTCACACCCACAAGGATGGTTTCTTCGTGTTCAATCATGTAACTGATAATTTGGCTTTTTGCTATGCTGTCAGGAAAAGCAATAACAAATTATATACAATCAAACCTCATTTCTCGAAGGCCTCCCATCTGGAACAATTCGGCTCTCGGCCAAGTTGTTCACAGAAAAAATGTCTTGGTTGTGGACCAAAACTTGTTTTGGACCTGACAACCCTTTCATGCTGATACCTCAGCAGGACACAAAGCGTCCATCAGGCAGCAAACAAAGGAGAATGGTTAGCACAATTAAAACAGAGAGTCAACCAAGAGTACTAATGTTGCCGAGGATGCGAAAGTGCTCACCAAAACATCACAGCCAAGTGAACAGGCAGAAAAGCTGATGGTGCTGGATAAACGAAAAGCAGCCGGCGATAGCATTTCAGAAGCAGATTTATACTAAAAATTTGTTTAAGGCTAGTAGGGGTGGTTCAACAAGTTTAATAAGTGTTTGTTTACAGATTAAACAGCACATTAGACATGCACTATATATAAGAAAGATTAAAATGGAATCATTTGGGGTCTGGAACGGATTGATTCAATTTATATTACTTCTAATGGGAAAAAAATGATTTGATTTTCAAACAAATTGCTTCTCGAACAGCCTTCCGGAACGAATTAAATTTGAGAGCCGAGGTTCCACTGTAGTTCAACCTTAACTCAGGAGGCCCATATGATCTTTTTTCCAAAAAAAAAAAAAATGTTTTTATTGATTTCAGAGAGGAAGAGATAGAAACATCAATGATGAGAATCACTGAGCGGCTGCCTCCTGCATGCCCCCTACTGGGGATCGAGCCCGCAACCCGGGCATGTGCCCCTGACGGGAATCCAACCCAGTACCCTTCAGTCCGCAGGCCGACGCTCTATCCACTGAGCTAGGACTGATCTTTATGGGTCTAAATCAGGGGTGGGCAAACTTTTTGACTCAAGGGCCACAATGGGTTCTTAAACTGGACCAGAGGGCCGGAACAAAAGCATGGATGGAGTGTTTGTGTGAACTAATATAAATTCAGAGTAAACATCATTACATCAAAGGGTCCGGTCTTTTTTTTTTTTTTAGTTTTATTCATTTCAAACGGGCCGGATCCGGCCTGCGGGCCGTAGTTTGCCCACGGCTGGTCTAAATACTAGATACCTATTTGTTCTAATACTGATACTGACTAGTGCTCCTAAATATATTTTCTAATGTTGAGTTTTTAAAAATGTAGTATCTACTTTTCTATGACAATGTATGTATCCCAATAAAACTCTTAAAATTCAATGCAAAAAAAAAAGATATGGAAGAGTTAACAAAAACTATTGATAACATTGTAATTCAACATAGTTACTAATAACAGGAAAGGAGTGGGGGAGGCCAAATATGGGCACCCACTGGTGCAGCTTTGCCAGGAAGCATGGTCTATTGGTCTATTCCCCCTGCAGATCGCTGCGGGGAGGGACTGGACAGGCCGGAACAGACGCAAGCCCAGTGAAGTCTGGGTGACAGAAGGTACTTGTTTGTCAGTCACACCTGGGAACAGGTCACTGGCCAGAGTAGGTGTGGCCACTGCAAGCTCAGGATGATTTGAGAGGTTTATTTTTATTTCACAGAGGAAGGGAGAGATAGAAACATCAATGATGAGAGAGAATCATTGATTGGCTGCCTCCTGCACGCTTCCTACTGGGGGTTGAGCCCATAACCCAGGCATTTGCTCAGACTGGTGATCTCCTGGTTCATAGGTCGATGCCCAACCATTGAGCCACACTGGCCAGGCTGAGAGATATTTAATCTCCTAAACAAGGAGTTTTCTCTCTTGTGCTCTTGCCCTCGTGGCTTCTGGCGCCCTCTTGGCTCCCCTGCAGGAGTCCACATGGCCCGGAGTCACGTGGCCACCACAAAGGCCTCATGGGACCAGCTCCCCGGGAAAGGGGCCTGGACACTGGCTTTGCTTCTCGCTCTGCATCCCCAGCTGCATGCACGTCCTCCAGGACTAGATGAGGGCGATGGGACTGTGCAAGCCTAGGCTGCAATTCCACAGAAATACAGCTTCTACCACAGCTCCTCCCACCACGGGAGCCTCCAAAAAGGCCTATCCCCGCGGCACCCAGGAGCCCACTCCCACCGGAAACAGGATAACACTGTCACCACCGGAAGAGGGAAGGGCCTGCCAAGAGCTGGTAATGGGTTTTTTAAATGCGTTTTTCTTTCATCTGAATTCAATACACTGGCATATTGTTTGTGAAAATTAGTGGGACGTTCTGTATGTTTTAATGAAAGGTTTTAAAAAACACAATAGTGGGGAATATAACACCATTTGGAAAGTGTAGCCACAGGCTCACCAAAACTCATCCGGTCTGGACCCGCTCTCCGCCCTGCGTGCGCCCCCGGAGACCCAGGGCCGCGGACA